CTGTACCGGCCGGCTGGGCATGCGAGCTGCAACTCTCCGGCTGCGACGAAGGCATCCTTAACCGCAGCGAAGCCCGTGCGTGTACACATGTAGATATATAAATAAAAAATATAGATATAAATATAAATACTAAATTTGAATATGAATATGAATATGAATATGAATATGAATATGAATAATAATATACATATAAACATAAATATGAAAATAAATATGAATATAAATATAAATTAAATCTTTAGTAAGAATAAACAAATATATATATATATATATATATGAGGCAGGAACCTTTATGCATAATGTGGCGCTCCTGTCTGGGGACTATCTAAGCTATCTAAACCAGAGGAGGTTTTAGATAGTTTAGATAGTTGGGGTGGAGACCCAAACTATCTAAACTATCTAAACCAGGGGGGGTTTAGATAGTTTAGATAGTTTAGATAGTTTAGATAGTTGGGGAAGAGGCCTAAACTACCTAAACTATCTAAACTATCTAAACCAGGGGGGGGGGGTTTGATAGTTTAGATAGTTTAGATAGTTGGGGGAGAGGCCTAAACTACCTAAACTATCTAAACTATGTAAACCAGGGGGATTTAGATAGTTTAGATAGTTTAGATAGTTTAGATAGTTTAGATAGTTTAGATAGTTTAGGGGGGGGGGGGGGGAGGTTGGGTCCCGGGTGGAGCCCAAAACTACCTAAACTACCTAAACTATCTAAACTACTAAACTATCTAAACTATCTAAACTATCTAAACTATCTAAACCAGGGGGGTTTAGATAGTTTAGATAGTTTAGATAGTTGGGGGAGAGGCCTAAACTACCTAAACTATCTAAACTATCTAAACCAGGGGGGTTCAGATAGTTTAGATAGTTTAGATAGTTTAGATAGTTTAGATAGTTTAGATAGTTTAGATAGTTTAGATAGTTTAGATAGTTTAGATAGTTTAGGGGGGGGGGGAGGTTGGGTCCCGGGCGGAGCCCAAAACTACCTAAACTGCCTAAACTATCTAAACTATCTAAACTATGTAAACCAGGGGGGTTTAGATAGTCTAGACAGTTTAGTTGCGGGAGAGGCCTAAACTACCTAAACTATCTAAACGGGATAGTTTAGATAGTTTACATAGTTTAGATAGTTTAGATAGTTTAGATAGTTTAGGGGGGGGAGGTTGGGTCCCGGGTGGAGCCCAAAACTACCTAAACCACCTAAACTGTCAAAACGATCTAAACTATCTAAACTATGTGAACCAGGGGGGTTTAGATAGTTTAGATAGTTGGGTGAGAGGCCTAAACTACCTAATCTATCTAAACTATCTAAACCGGGGGGGGTTAGATAGTTTAGATAGTCTAGATAGTTTAGATAGTTTAGATAGTTTAGATAGTTTAGGGGGGGAGGTTGGGTGGAGCCCAAAACTGACTAAACTACCTAAACTACCTAAACCATCTAAACTATGTAAACTATCTAAACTATCTAAACCAGGGGGGTTTAGATAGTTTAGATAGTTTAGATAGTTTAGATAGTTTAGATAGTTTAGATAGTTTAGATAGTTTAGATAGTTTAGATAGTTGGGGGAGAGGCCTAAACTACCTAAACTATCTAAACTATCTAAACCAGGGGAGTTTAGATAGTTTAGATAGTTGGGGGAGAGGCCTAAACTACCTAAACTATCTAAACTATCTAAACCAATCTAAACTATCTAAACTATCTAAACCAGGGGTCCCCCCAATACTAAGTTTCGAGCCCGGGCCTCCCCCCAATACTAAATTACGAGCGCGGGCCTCCCCAATACCAAATTACGAGCCCAGGCCTCCCCCAAATACTAAATTACAAGCCCGGGTAGGTAAGTTTTGGGGGGAGGTTGGGTCCCGGGTGGAGCCCAAAACTACCTAAACTATCTAAACTATCTTAACAAGGGGGGTTTAGATAGTTTAGATAGTTTAGATAGTTGGGGGAAAGGCCTAAACTACCTAAACGAGCAAAAAAGGGGGGTTTAGTTTAGATAGTTTAGATGGTTGGGGGAGAGGCCTAAACTTCCCAAACTATCTAAACTATCTGAACCAACGGGGTTTAGATAGTTTAGATAGTTTAGGTAGTTTAGGTAGTCTTGGGGGGAGGTTGGGTCCCGGGTGGAGCCCAAAACTACCTAAACTATCTAAACTATTTAAACTATCTAAACTTTCTAAACTATCTAAACCAGGGGTCCCCCCAACACTAAATTACGAGCCCGGGCCTCCCGCCAATATTAAATTACGAGCGCGGGCCTCCCCCCAATGAGAGGGGGGGGCGCGGGTGGAGCCCAAAACTACCTAAACTATCTAAGCTATCTAAACTTGGCCTTGGAAACCCCCCAAATGGCACAAAATCGTGTTTTTTGATCATTTTGGGTCCCCCAAATACCCAACTAACAAATTTGACCATTTTGCCCTGGAAACCCACCCCAATGGCAAATTGTCGTAGTTTTTACCATTTTGGGCTTTCGCAAACCCTGAATTCAGGCCTACAAAAAAAGGATTTTCCCTAGTTTGGCAGCCAAAAAAACCACCCAAATGACAAATTTTAGTGTTTTTATTGACCATTTTGGGCCTTCTCAAACCCTGAGTTAAGGCCAAAACATAGGGTTATTCGTTAGTTTGGCGGCCTTGGGAAACCACCAAAATAATAAAAATAGTGATGTTTGACCATTTTGGGCCTTCCCAAACCCTGTATTCAGGCCAAAACATAAGGATTTTCGCTAGTCTGGCGGCCTTGGAAAACCCCCAGAATGGCAAATTTTAGTGAATTGTTGCACATTTTGGGCTTCCCAAACCCTGAATTAAGGCAAAAACCATAAGGATTTTCGATAGTTTGGCGGCCTTGGAAAAACCAAAAATCAATCGGATCGCGCCAAATCTTGATGCAAAACCCCTGGTCAAAATTTGGTGCGATCCGACCGCCCCCCTTCTTCAACCCAAGCAAGCACATGCAAGGCAGCGGTCGGATCGCACGAAATTTTGATGCAAAACCCTGGTCAAAATTTGGTGCGATCCGACTGCCCCTTCTTCAACCCGAGCAAGCATAGGCAAGGGAGCAGTCGGATCACACCAAATCTTGACGCAAAAACCCTGGTCAAAACTTGGTGCGATCTGACCGCCCCCTTCTTCAACCCCGCAACGCCCCCTTCTGGTACTTGAATTATGGGAGCTCAGATTTCCAAAAACTTGAGAGGGACACTGTTTGTGATTTGTCTTTTTGGGAGCTCAGCTTTCCAAAAACTTGATGGGAACACTGCTTGCGATCTGTCATTTTGGAAGCTGAGTTTTCCAAAAGCCTAAGGGGCACACTGCTTTCGATTTGTCATTTTGGGAGCTCAGTGTTCCCAAAACTTAAGGGGGGCACTGCTTGCGATTTGTCATTTTGAAAGCTCAGCTTTCCAAAAACTTAAGGGGGACACTGCTTGCGATTTGTCTTTTGGGGAGCTCAGTTTTGCCAAAACTTAGGGGGACACTGCTTGCGATTTGTCATTTGGAGGGCTCAGTTTTCCAAAAACTTAAGGGGTACACTGCTTCCGATTTGTCATTTTGGAAGCTCAGATTTCCAAAAACTTAAGGGGTACACTGCTTGCGATTTGCCATTTTGGAAGCTCAGCTTTCCAAAAACTTGATGGGAACACTGCTTGCGATCTGTCATTTTGGAAGCTGAGTTTTCCAAAAGCCTAAGGGGCACACTGCTTTCGATTTGTCATTTTGGGAGCTCAGTGTTCCCAAAACTTAAGGGGGGCACTGCTTGCGATTTGTCATTTTGAAAGCTCAGCTTTCCAAAAACTTAAGGGGGACACTGCTTGCGATTTGTCTTTTGGGGAGCTCAGTTTTGCCAAAACTTAGGGGGACACTGCTTGCGATTTGTCATTTGGAGGGCTCAGTTTTCCAAAAACTTAAGGGGTACACTGCTTGCGATTTGTCATTTTGGAAGCTCAGATTTCCAAAAACTTAAGGGGTACACTGCTTGCGATTTGCCATTTTGGAAGCTCAGATTTCCAAAAACTTAAGGGCGACACTGCTTGCGATTTGTCATTTTGGGAGCCCAGTTTCCCAAAAACTTGAGGGGGACACTGCTTGCGGTTTGTCTCGCTCGTCTTCTTCATCATCTCCCTCATCTCCCTCATCTCCCCTCTTGTCCTTCCTGTCTCTCAGATGCATCCTTTGATCCCCATCAGCCTCATCATCTTCATCATCTTCATCTGCTTCATCCTTTCATCTGCTTCATCTGCAAACACCACACACACAACAGAAGAGGGTAGGAACAACTTTGCCGGTCAAAATTTGCCGGGATCCCCTTGGCACCCTGCACAAGTCCTGCAAATACCACACAAAACGGAAGAGGGTAGGATCAACAATCGGGGGTCAAAATTTGGCGGGACCCCCTTGGCACTCCGGAAAAGTCCTACAAATACCACACAAAACGGAATAGGGTAGGAACAACTTTGCCGGTCAAAATTTGCCGGAATCCCCTTGGCACCTTGCAAAAGTCCTGCAACACAAAACAGAAGAGGAGGAACAACATTTGGGGGTCAATATTTGCCGGGATCCCCTTGGCACTCCGCAAAAGTCCTGCAAATACCACACACACAACAGAAGAGGGTGGGAACAACTTTGCCGGTCAAAATTTGGCGGGACCCCCTTGGCACCCTGCAAAAGTCCTGCAAATACCACACACACAACAGAAGAGGGTAGGAACAACTTTGCCGGTCAAAATTTGCCGGGATCCCCTTGGCACCCTGCACAAGTCCTGCAAATACCACACAAAACAGAAGACGGTAGGAACAACATTTGGGGGTCAAAATTTGTCGGGATCCCCTTGGCACTCCGGAAAAGTCCTGCAAATACCACACACACAACAGAAGAGGGTGGGAACAACTTTGCCAGTCAAAGTTTGACGGGGTCCGCTTGGCACCCTGCACAAGTCCTGCAAATACCACACAAAACGGTACAGGGTAGGAACAACTATTCCTTGGCACCCTGCAAAAATCCTGCAAACACCACACAAAACGGAAAGGGTAGGAACAACATTCGGGGGGCAAAATCTGCCGGGATCCCCTTGGCGCTTTGCACAAGTCCTGCAAATACAACGCAAAACGGAAAAGTGTAGGAACAACTTTAAAGACATGATGTTACATGTATCCAAAATTGGGGTTTTTTCCTGTAGAAAAACCCACCTTATATAAATGGACACCCACACCGGAGACCTCTATTTCTTGGAAGCCTTGAAAGAAAAGGTGCTTCTTTGTCCACTCTCACCACCTTGGTGCCACCTTGTTTAGACTGTTAGAGTGTTTCGGGCGCCCTTTTCTTCCTTTTTCTGTAGCAAAACCCATCTTAAAAGGACACCCGCGCCAGAGACTCCGATGTTGTGGAAACCTCGAAGGAAAGGCGCTGCTCTTTTCCACTGTGGCCTTCCCTTCGTTGTGTTTCTTTGCGCAAAAAGAAATAACACAACGAAATGACGTTTTGCATGTATCCAAAATTAGGGTGTCCTTTTCTTGTTTTCTCTGTAGCAAAACCCAGCTGAAAAGGACACCCCCACGGGAGACCTCTATTTTGTTGGAAACCTTGAAAGAAAAGGCGCTTCTCTGTCCACTCTCACCGTTCGTTCGTTTCATTATCTGCCCCCTTTTGTATCTAAATACGAAAAATTTCAATGATATTTAAAGAGGGGCGTCCAAGATGTTTAGAGTGTTTCGGGTGTCCTTTTCTTCCTGTTTCACACCCGCGCCAGAGACTCCGATGTTTTGGAAGCCTTGATGGGAAGGCACTCGCTTTCTCCACTGCGGCCTTCCTGTCGTTCCATTACTACAAAGAGGAAATAAAAGACTAAAAATGATGTTACATGTATCCAAAATTAGGGTTTCCTCTTCTTCTTTTTTTCGGTAGCAAAACCCACCTAAAAAGGACAGCCCCACGGGAGACCTCTGTTTTGTGGAAACCTTGAAAGAAAAGGTGCTTCTCTGTCCACTCTCACCTTTCGTTCCTTTCCTTTGTCTGTCCCCTCTTGTGTTTAAATATGAAATATTTAGATAATATTTAAAGAGGGGCGTCCAAGATGTTTAGAGTGTTTCGGGTGTCCTTTTCTTCCTGTTTCCGTAGCAAAACCCATCCTAAAAGGACACCCGCACCAGAGATTCTGTTGTTTTGGAAGCCTTGATGGGAAGGCACTCGCTTTTTTCCAATGTGGCCTTCCTGTCGTTCTATTACTATTTCTTTGTGCAAGAGGAAATAAAAGACTGAAATGCTGTTGCATGTATCCAAAATTAGGTTGTCCTTTTCTTCTTTTCTCTGTAGCAAAACCCACCTGAAAAGGACACCCCCACGGGAGACCTCCATTTTTTTTGGAAACCTTGAAAGAAAGCAGGCCGAAGACCTGAGCTGTTTCAAGAATTTACGTCCCCAAAAGACAAATCGCAAGCACCGTCCGCCTGAGATGTTTCAAGAAGTTTTGCACTCAACAGACAATTCGCCGGCACCGTCCCCCGAAAGATTTTGGAAAAAATGTACTCCCAAAAGACAAATCGCAAGCACCGTCCCCTTAAGATTTTGGAAAAAATGTCCTCCCAAAAGACAAATCGCAAGCGTAGTCCCCCAGCAACTTTGGAAAGCGTATGCTTCCAATCAGTTTTTCTTGTTAAAGAGAAAGGCAAGAAGATAAGAGAGAGGAGGAGTTTACATGTCTTCCTACCTTGTTCCTTTCTTCTTCCGGTTCGCTCGCTCGTTCTCTCTCTCTCTCTCTCTTTCTTGCTCTATCTCCCTCGGTCTCTCTCTTCTTTCATGGGCGGCATGTCTTGTAGAATTGGAAGTCGAGGAGGAGGGTGAGCTACAAAAAAATAGGTTTGCTGAAGCAGAGAGGGAGTGAGACAGGGCGAGGCATAGAGAGAAGCATAGACCGTGGAGTCCATGTCAGTTTTACCCCTTTGTGGAAAGCTACGTTCCAGCTACTTGCCACAGCTGCACTCCACCCACCCCTCTTGGCACCCATGTCTGACCAAGGGCTGCACTTGACAACCAGCAAGTCCAAAAGTCGGAGTGTGGAAAAGAAAGACGAAAAGAGAAGAGACAAGAGGAATTTACATGTTCTTCCAACCTTGTTCTTGCCCCTCCCTCTTCTCTCCCCCCTGACCTGTCTCTCTTGCTCTCTATCTCCTCATTTTTTAACGTGGCACGGGAAGGCGGAATGAGATGAAGGCAGCGTCCCGCCCTGGAGGCACCTGCCCGCACAGAAACAAAACAAGCATCAGAGGGAGAATGAGACAAACTTCATATCAGTTTCTTTCTTGCTAAAAAAAGAGATGAGACAGAAGAGGAGAGTACATTTTCTTCCAAACCTTGCTCCTCCCTCTTCTCTTCGCCCCGTCGCTCTTGCTCTCGCTCTAGGTCTCATTCTTTCTTTCTCGGTCTCTCTCATACCCTCTCTCTCACTCCTCTCTCTCTCTCTTTCTTATCTGAGTGGTACGTCTCATAGAGTTGGAAGAGGAGAGGAGGAGGAGGTTGAAAGGAATGAAAAGGAAGAAAGAGATTTCGCTGAAGCAGAGCGGGAGTGAGATTGCTGAAAGAAAAACAAAGTAGGAAGAACATGTGAAAAAATGACAAGAGGAATTCACATGTTCTTCCTACTTTGTTCTTACCCCTGCATCTTCTCTCCCCTGACCTTGTCTCTCTTTCTCTATCTCCTGACCTTTATTTTAAAGTGGTACGGGAAGGCGGAATGAGATGAAGGCAGCGTCCCCTGAAGGCACCTGCCACGCACAGAAAATCACCGAGCATCAGCTTCCAAATAAAACCCTTTTCAACGGGGGGGGGGGGGGCTTCCTGAAGAGGAGAAAGGGCACCTGTCTGCGAAGAGCAAGAACAGTCTTGTCTTTTTGAATTATAGAGGGAAAAGGGAGAGACAAGGGAGGGAGAGATGAGAGATACAGAAGAGTGCCATCTTCTTTGCGACTTGTTGTGTTCCTCCGTCTCCTTGTTTCTTGTCTCTGCGCTTCTTTTCAGCACCCTTCCAGAAAATTAAAATGGCCTCCTTGTTGTCTCTCCTCTCTCACTTTCCTTTCCCTTCTCTCCTTCTGCTTCCTTTTAACTGATAAAACACACAAGAAAGATGGTAAAGCAGTGGAAGGGTAATCAGAGGGTGACTCCTTGCGCGTGGACCTTTCCAAAATACTTCATCATATTCCTCCTCTCGGCCTATCTCTTCTGTTCCTTTCCTTACCCTTCTCCTTCTCATTGTCCTTCCTTTTGTTTTTCTCATTTCGAAAAGAAAGAGGGAAGGGAGAGAGAAGGGAGAGATGATAGATAAAGAAGAGTGCCATCTTCTCTGCGCCTTGTTTTGTCTCTCCCTCTTCTCTACTCATCTCTCTTCTATTCTTTTGTTTGCTCTTCCCAACAAAAAACTCAATCCCTTTTATCTCTCCTCTCTCCTTCTCTCTCCCTCCTTATCTCCTATGAAAAAAGCGCATTCGGTTCGAGGTTTACGGTTCGAGGTTCAGGGTTTAGCATTCTGGGTTCATTAGGGGTTAGGCCCTAAACCCTAAACCCGATGAGTCCTGAGCCTAGACCCTAAACCCTAAACCCTAAACCCTAAACCCTAAACCCTAAACCCTAAACCCTAAACCTTCAGTAGTATAGAATAGCATTAAAACAAAGAGGACATGCCTAATAGTACATAAAGGTTCCTCTTGTATATATATATATATATATACTTCTATTTATTTATTTAATATAATAGAATAGAACTGAATGGAATAGACTAGAATAACACAAAATATAATATAACATAACATAACATAACATAACATAACATAACATACTATAGTATAATGTACCATAATAAAATTCAGTATAATATAATAGATCATAATATCATATCATATCATATCATAAAGTATAATTGAAATTCATCACCATATCAGAATAAGAATATGGTAATAGAAATAGAAATAGTACTAGTAAAGTAATAGTAATAGTAATACGAATCATAGTAATCATAATCATCATAAATAATCATCATCATAGTCAAAATAACCATAATCAACATAATCATAATCAAAATAATAATAATAATGACAACAATAATAATAATCATAATAAGAATAACATTAACAATAACAACAATTTTTATTGCAGCAACAATAATGGAAGTCATAATCATAATAATACGAAACCCAAAATCACATTTGGCTTCCCATGCTTCTCCCCCCTCCAAACAGCCTAGCAAAACCTATACAGGTCACGAAGTCCATGGTGGCAGAAAAAAACAGACTGCATGGAATCCTAGTAGCCGGCATTGAACAGCTGGCTCCGGCAGAACACCAGCACCTCAGCCAGCAGGGAGTTTGAGGTGGTCGACATTCCGTTTGCTGATAGATGTCGAATAACTTTCCGCTTCACTACTTCCCTCTAGACCATGCCGTGTGCTCACCTTCCTTCCACGGAGTCGCTGCCCCTTCGCGGCCGCGCATCTTTGTTGAGCCGACTGCAGGCTGACTGCGTGGATCTTGGACGTGTCGTGATTAAAGCGAGACTGCCACACACGCACACCATCGCAGACGGTGCAACTTAAGGAATGACGATCGCTACAGGGCAAGATCCTTCCAAGTGAGCAGAGAGATGGAACACTACGTAAAATGTCAGGGGAAAAAACGCGATCCAGCGCCCAGTTTTGACTGCTCTGCGTGTATGGAACTTCATGTTTTTGGAGGTGGTTCGAATTTTCTTGTTTGGGAGACACCCTATTTGGAATGCAGCACCGAGCACAGCCATTACACTCACCCGACGCGACCATGGACTTTGGTATCCAAAATGTGAACCGCGCCTCATTGATGTGCTGCGTTCAGAGGATTTTAGGCGGCGTGGATCATTCAGCATCAGGGGTGTTGCAGGAGAACGAACTTGCGCAGGTGACAACCCTCCAAGGGTTATGCCATATGATATCACGTGAAAATTTTAAATGTGTACTCTATATTTGTATACAGTACTGTATACCTATCTGTGTGTGTGCGTCAGTGTGTGTGTGTGGGTCAAGGCCTGTTACTCTAGAATGAGTGGATGCTCTCATGGAGGCATGAGAGCATACCTGCAAGAGATCTGTATGGGTGACGTGGTCACGGCTTGCGATCTCACTCACTAGTGGCAGCGACGCGCTGCTTACTGTAGCCTGTGCAGGGCCGCTTTCAGATTAGGAGAAAACCAACAGCCTTGGAACATCAAACGATGTACAGGTCGATCTTGTGTGTGTGTGTGTGTGTGTGTCCCCGTGCGCGTGTGATGCGCTCATAGCCCAAGCATTCATGTGAATGCCGACGGCACGGCTTCTTGTTGAAACACCCTTGGCCGTGGCGCAACTGGTAGGATCCAGGTGTGCCATCCAATGGTGGGATGCCCAGTTCAACCTCAAGTGGCACTCTCAATTGCGCCCCTGCTCCCGTAAACCCTACACCCTAAACAGAAATTCTAGGCACGCTCTCAAGCCGCACAGTGACAGGTCTCAGAACAAAGTCCAAGCGAAATTCCACACCGCCCCTCCCCCAGGGATGTTCCCCCCTTATACTGACAGTCCTTCTTACGGATGATAGGACCCCCTATGATAATCCCTGTCATGGACGATTAGTACAAGGGGGAACATCTTACTCCGAGCCGGTCCTGAAACTGTGCGCCGCTCTTCGTGAGGCTCACGGCGGCCCATGAAGGGAAGCCCAGGAGCACCATGGACGACGGGCCCAGGCCGCAGTCGCCTGAAGTGACCTCCCAAGAGCGGATGAAAGAGGGTGAATGACAGGGTGAATGACAGGGTGAATGACAGGGTGAATGAGAGAGTATGAAACAGGGGGTATGAGAGAGGGGATGAGGAGGTTTGAAGTGGGGATGAGAGGGTTTGAAGTGGGGATGAGAGGGTATGAGTGGCAGGGGAATCTTTCACATGCGCTAAAGGGCATGCGGATACATTTTCCGAATACAGCACCTAAAAACCAGATGTTATCGGAAATTGAAGTTGCCTTTTACTGAGGGCCTAAAGGCTGAGGTAGAGTGTGTTGGAGTGGAGAGGATGTGCGACTCTGTGATCGCATATCTGCAACTGATAGATCAAGCCACTCCAGGTCAAGTCGCAACTCAGGTTTGTGCAAGCCAAGACAGAACCGCAGACCTTGTCATCTCTTCCATTTTGGGGAGAACAGCAAACCTTCTAGAAAACTGGAAGGCCAACAAAGCTTGCCAAGACAGATCGCAAGGCACCGTCACTAGGTCACCAATCGCTAGGTTGGAGCCCACAAACTCCACAGTGCAGCCATCACCCAGCTCGCAGGTCGTGACCTTTCGCTTCAGCTGTGCTGAGGGCACGCCGGCCATGCTTGCATAAATCTACAAGTCGGAGAAAGCTGATAATTCGTCACTCTCCAGATCAGGTCACGAGAGTTTTTGAATCAACCTGCCAGACGGGCTACCCTCGGCATGCAGAACCTCTATGCTTTGGCTTACCTTCCTGGCGATGTTTTCTCGGAGTGAAAGGAATCCATCTCCATCGAAAACACGTATAGCCCTAGCTGCTATTACTTGGAACTCGCCCACAAGATAATGCATTCAATACCACTCTTTCAATGCCTTCAATGACAATTCAGCGACCGGGCCTTTGGCAAGGGCCCAGCCAGAGCCAGATAGCCAACGGCCTGGCAAAGCGCTGAGATTTTGTACTAAAGCTTGTTGAGCTCACCAAACGTCAACGCTACAAAAATCTGTCTTGGTGGTATGTTCTCTCAGGGGATCGTTGACCTCTCCTTTTGACCCTATTTGAGCCTATTTGCCTTTCCCGCTTCCCGCCTGGAGGAAGTGCTGAGAGGCCGTGCAGTTGTCCAAGTCGAGGACCGGACGGCAGAAGCAAAGGCGGTAGAGGCCGGGCCGGGCCCTCACCAAATCTGAGCCACTTTCCACGAAGTCGAAGACCTTCGTTTTTTGTTTGGGGCAGTTCTTGAATAGAACTGGAATGCAAGGATTCAGGTTGTTGTGGTTGTTGTGCTCCTAGTAAGCAGCCACATGTCAGAGGCTTTTCTGGGGTTTCTATCTTCCGTGGTCTCTCGCCATGCGACCTCTTCAGAGCCCCCGCCGAGGCCATCGGTTTCAAGGATCCCTTCTCCAGGAAACCCAGGCAGGGGATCACCTGCACAGTTCACTCCCCCGAAGATGGGCGCTGGAGCTTAGAAAGCACTAGGACCACTAGGAGCACTCTGTCTCTTGGAAACCGGCATTGCCCCTTCGACTAACTCCAGTCCTAGAATCCCTCTTAAGGAGCCTCGAGGGGGGAACAGGGCAATGCCTTGCCCCCCCCCCCCCCCCCCCCCGCACCCCCCCAAGCCTCCGCCACAGACATCCAAGATCATGAGGCGGTCGCCAGTCTCGAGTGCCAAGCCTGTGCAGTTTAGGGCAACCTTTTTTTGTTGTGGGGGAGTGGGCGGGAGGGGGGCCGGGGGGAGGGGGGGCCGGGGGGGAGGGGGGGGGACTTACTCACTGCTATATGGCCTTCGATGACGGGGAAAGTGCAGATCTGGCCAACAGCACATTCGATCTGCAGAGGGGTGAAGGGCCCCTCGATCCTTCAGCAAAGGTCAGGTGCTGCGTCTCAGGTGACACTGGTTGCACTTCTCTGTCAAACTTTGAAAGAGCAAATTGGCAAACCCAGCTCTCATCCTGACGCGCCCTGCTTCCAGCCCCTCGTGCGGATCCTGACAGCAGGTCAGGTGAGTCAGATGTTCATTCCAAGCGGATTGAGCACTGATGTTGAGAGTGGACACTTCGCTGAGGCGCAAAACGAAGCCCTGGTGCTTCACTGGAAACCCCGAGCAAATTAAACAATAGATTCAATGGAGGCTGTCCTGGCATGCAGTGTCGAAGCTCTTGGCACACCAGCATACGTAGTAGTCGGACCTTTCCTTGCAATGCTCAAGCCCTTCGGCATCCGATCAGACTCTGGCACCGCGGCTACATGGCACTTCTTGAAAACTCATGGTACTTATTAACCAATGAAAACTGTACCTATAACTGTACTTATAAGGGCACTTGAGGGGCTCATAAGTTAAGTACAGTTATAATTGGTTAATAAGTGCCATGAACCTCCAAGTTCTCAACTCAAGGCAAAGGCTCAGCCTGCAAAGAGAGAATGGGCACATGCATTTCCAGGCGAACAACACTGTCCTCAACCAAAGCCTCACGCCTCGCAGGGAGTGGTCTACACTGCCTACAGATCAGACCTGCTCTGACTTACAGGACTTGAGCTCTGCGTGGGACTGCTTCAGTTGTAGCACGGCACGGTTTTTCACTGACAGCAGCACCACCCAGAGCACCAATACGTTCCTACTACTCAATCCTGCTACTTAGACGACGATGACGAGCCCTTCGCGGAGTGGTGTTGCTGCCCAGAACCGGCCTTTGAACGGTGGTGCTCTGCGTTCGCTGAGAATGTGGTGCTGCCCCACCGCATGGGTTCAGCTGCACGTTCACGACGTCTGTAAGTTCCAAGCCCAGGCCTCTGCAAACCGATGCCACTAACTCGAAGTAGTTTCGCCATCGACTCTCTGGTGAAAGCACGTCATGGCACAGCGGCACAACCCTGCAAATTTCAACGTACCATTGTCATGCAAGGGTACGCGCGACACCTTGCTTTGATGAAATTACATGACTTGGCAACGTATCTCGTTCAAAGGCGCCATCGACCTGCAAGCTGCACTTGCGGCCGGTCACGCCTCGTTTCAGGGCTTGGTACTAGGGATTCCGCATCTCATTCTGACACAAGACGCATTCTCTCGACTGAAAGGCCATACATGTAAGATAATGCTAGCGATCATGGGCCAAGCACGGTAAAAAAATAGACTCCCGGCACATCGCCAGGGCGCAGGTCCACACCACATTGGCTTGGCTGAGAAGAGGAGCGACCACCTTAAGACTGTTAAGTCTGCAAGCTTAGGCAAACTCGAGTCAGAAATATGGCCTCTCAAGATGGCTTGACAAGGCGCGAGCAGCTGACCAACCGCAACACTGTAGTCCCAGGGGTGGTTGCACCCCACGTTGGTGCACAGGCACACGTGGTAGAAGCCAGGCACCTCGCAGCTTCACAAGGCAGAAGGGGACAGAGGCGGACAGAACTTCAAAGCCTCAACCATGCTTTAGAAGGAAAGCATCGGAGTGGAGGCATCAAATCACTTGGGACTGACTGTAGGAGACTGTAGAGTCTTCGGGTTTGCCGAAGGTTCAGGGTTTGATCCGCCGTGCCTTCGCTGAGCGCCTTTGAACTGAAAGAGCGGTTTATCTCTTTCGGCGGGAACAAAAAGGGGAAAACAGGGACGGATGGTCTGGGCGGGTAGGGGGTTCTGAATGGAGGTTCTCTTTGCAGTTTAGGATTTAGGGTTGAGGGTTTGAGGTGATCTGGAGCTTGGAGTCAAGGTGCAGCGTCGAAGTCTAGCACCGTCTCGCCCCATCGGAACTGTGTGCCTTTGTTCTCACTGACGTCTGACATTGCCCTGTTCCTGAGACGCACAGGGTGATCCCCAACAGCGACAACCCCCACACAAAGAGAGACCTCTTGCAATTCTTGAGATGCCCATTCCAAGTTGATCACATGGAAGTCGTTCGACATTGAAACTATGGTCCCTTTTTTGGGGGGTTACCCGGATTATGGGGATACTACTATGATCCCCCCGCCCCGAGAGTTCGATGATCTCCACGCTGCAGCTACAGCTGATGTGAAACAGGTAATTGTGGATGCTTTGCCGCAAATCAGGCTGTCGCGGGACATTGGCGGATACTCGGCGATTCTCCTAAACCCTATAGTATAACCCTAAACCCTAAAGCCGGTTGGACACTCCGGGGCCTGCCCAGGAGACCGGGGACACCTATGAGGAGCATGGTCGACGCAACATGTAACAACCCCGCACTCGAGGATCCTCACCGGAAGCGACTTTGGGGGCAATTTACAGGCCTCTGGACCTTTCAAGGCCAAGATCCTGCTGGATGTTGCAGGAAAGTTTTGTTTCGCTCTGGTAACAAAGAATTCTGGTAATCGAGGGAGATGTCATAAGTTGTCTTTATGAGGCTGGTTTTGACAGGAGTGAAAGGATGCATGAAAAACAAGCGAAGAAAGGGGCAGCGTTCATTGTGCTCAGTTGGTGTCCTGTGTGCATAAGTGAGCTCACGAACACCCAATAAAACCTGATGAATGCTGTGAAGACAAAACTATTCTGGGAAGCGTGAGATGAATACCAAGAGATCGAAGGTGCGGTTGCCATGTTCATATGAGGAAGTCGTTGGAAACTTATTGAGTAGTCCTCTTAGTCCTTAGAGGTTTCGATAAGGCTTCGCCTGACCTCGGCCTCGAGGTTTCTTGTATGTGGGCCGTTGACCCTCGTAGAGCTGTCGTAGAGCTGAGAGCTGTTTGGTAGAGCTGAGAGGGCAGTCGAGGGCTTGTGGCTTGAGGTCCTATACATTTGCAATGTCAACGCAAACCTTCAAAGATTGGAATTCAACCATCGCGAGCTCCTAGAAACTCCTAAGACCCTGAGCCACCACACAGAGTTGGTTGGCTTCGAAGATTACAATTTAAGTTAGTCTTCCAGGTGAGTCGCCCTACAAAAAAGAGTCTCCAAAACCATCCCTTGAACGGCTTGAGGGCTGCGTGCGTAGGGACGTTTAGGGATGCCTACTAGGCTATTGTTCTATAGGCCCAAAGATGAAAAGCTGCTCTGTCGGCAAACAGGGTTTGCGTTTGGCTGTGCAAAATGTGTCGCGATGTGGTGCAGAGATTGCGCGCGCGCCAGCGTCTTGGGTTGCTTGTTGGTATGTGTGGACTTCAAATTCGAATTCTAGCCATTGAATTCGTGCAAGATATGTAGAAAAATTAGAAAAATCGCATAAACTCCTGCATTTGCTAAGTCAGCTGAGCCTCGAGATTCCAGCAACGTCTGCAACATGAGTCTCATTGCAAGCATCCGAAGACAGCTGTAACTTGTAGCCTTCCCGGTACTGTGAGACCCCAGTCAAGGTGACCCCACAAACCTTTCTCCTGGCACATCTCCACAAGTTCCACACCTCGGCGGTCACCATCTCGCAGCTGTGGTTGCTTGCTGATTTTGTTGACCCTGGCTGGCACGGACTGCAGCCCACGCTGGCTTTTCCAAAAGCCACCATCCCCATAGGACAAGATTCACAGGTCCCATTGCCCACAGAGCTCTTGAAGCGTCCAGGCTGACATGGCTCACAGCTCGGGGAATCCGCCGACTCAACGTGCTCAAATCCGCGCAAGCACTGGCATCCGTTCGGGGAGTCCAGCTGACACGCCTGCACGGCGTCTGTAGGAACCCGTATGTGAAAATATCTTGACGTTCTCGCTACGAATTGCGAGGGCTGTGTGACTTGAAGTGAAATCAGAGGAAAAGGGGAGGGTCGTCAAAGAGAAGCGCTCAGAGAAAGGCGAGAGCGTTTAAAGAACAGCGGAGGGCCGCCAAACGAGTATCAGTTGTCGCGCCTGCGGCATCCTTTTGTATATGATGATCTCCGATGTGGGAGGAATGTCCAAAGCATCTGCGTCTCGTCCAAAAGACCAAAGCATGTGGCGAGCTTCGGGAATCCAAACCTGGCAAGGCAACCCCTGCCTTAAAATTCATTATGATCATTGCTCATAGGCCTGGAGTACGAGAGCTCCGTCCCTCTCCCATCGTTAGGTGAGAACCATTCCGGTGAGAAGCCGGACAAGGTGTAGATCTGCTGAATTGCAAGACCCTGAACGACCCTATCTTGAAGAGGGCGCATGTCAAAATGGAAGCACGAGGCGAATATTGAAAACAGACCACGGAGGAATAGGAAACTGGAGGATAAGCAAGGAAGAAGGAGTGCTACTACCGGCTGTGATATACCAACAACCAGCAACAGAGGCGGTGGAAATAACAACACCGGAAAACATAGAGCTGAAGATACAAGACGAATACGATATGTCGGACATCATAGGAAAAAACACAAGCCAAACATGTAATGATTAGGGCAAAATGTACGGGATCGAGCAAGTCGTATATATGCGAGAGAACTACTATTTGCTTAAGAACCCCAAAAGAAAAATAATCCGTAGATTACCCTCAATAAGGAAAACTATTGTTTTTTTTATTATATTTTTTTGGTTATTGAGCAATTAGTAGAGAATGGGAGAGATGGGGTTGAGGGTTTTGTTTGTTTGCCCCACCAACAAACTGGTTCAAAAACACAGCAAAGAGGCAATCACTGTCAATAAGTCTTTTGGCATATCAATAGGCGAGGAGAGACTGGAACCCGACTATACAGGATATGACGCGGTGGTTTTCGACGAAGTCTATTTTAACGGTTTAGGCGTGTTAACCAGAATAAGGGGGTTTGTTAGAAAGAACACTAATCTGATAATCATAGGAACTGGGGACGGTAAGCAACTGAAGCCGGTAAATGAACTGACCAACATACAGGAACACGAAATATATATATATATATATATATATGAACTCGTGTAGATCAGATTTTCTCATACAGCATGTACCTTAAGGAATGCAAGAGATTAAAAACCAAGGAAGACAAAGAGAAATTATCGAACATGTACGCCGACATCTTCGAAAACACCGTAAAACCTAAGGAGCTGATCGAACGATACTTCAAATATACGAAGGTGATAAGTTTGAACAAAAACAACATAGCTTATTTGAACAACACATGTAGGGAAGTATCAAAGGAGACAAGGAAACAGAAAACAGAACAGCGGAATACGAGGTAGGAGGGGTGATGATATGCCGAGAATGTTTAAAAACGACGAGGTCTAATTTTACTGTGAATTTAAGGTATGTCATCCAAAACATGAATCCCGAAACGGTGGTTTTATGCGATGAGGTGGAAAAGAAATCGCAAGAAGTCCCGATAGATAGTTTGAGGAAGCACTTTATATTTGCATATTGTTATACTTGCCACAGTGTCCAAGGTAGTAGCATAGACGATGCAATAACGATACTTGATTCTAACCACTGGCTGGTTAATAAGGAAGGGTTATATACAGCGATCACGAGAAGCAATGATTTAAATAAGGTGTATTTCTATAAGTATAGCTCGGATGTGAAAGACGATGTGTTTAATAAAAACTGCGTGTGTAACTATATGTGTCGAAAGGTTAAGGGATACAAAGAGCAAGACCATGCAGGAAAAATAAAGGTCGAACATAAGCATTTTATAACCGCAGATTGGCTTATGGAAAGGTTGAGCGGTTGTTGTGTAAATGTGGGATAGAGCTTCATTTGAAGATGATAAAGGGGAAGAAACATACGAATTTGACTGCTCAACGATCAAATAACGATATCTGCCATACGATCGAAAATTGTGTAGCATATTGCAAGAGTTGCAACTGTGCCGTGAGTAATAAGGAAACGTGTCAAAACACAACTTTTAAAAATATATAATTTCTTATATATGTCCGAAAGCTTAGAAGCATCACGTAAAGACGTCACCAACACGATACAAAACTTTGTCAACAAACTGTATCTCGATAGGAGAATAACCAAAGTGTTCAACGAAAAGCCTTTTTTCCAACAAACCGCCTACAAATAAAGACACAACATACATAAACAAACGAAACACATAGCTTAACAAGCTGAACAACGGAGAAACCGGAGAACCCAAACCAAGCACCTTAGAATATTACGGAATAATTAAAGACGGAAACAAAGATAGCAAGTTCTTAGAATTTATCTTCACAATAATTTTTGTAAAGAAAAATTATGTTCAGCTCGTTTGGTTTACAAGGCTAAGGATTTTCAGGGAGATTATATAGGGGAATTGGTAAAGCACAAAATTAAGGGTTTTTGGAAGGATATGGTAGATGTTTTGATCAAATCGGGGGAGACGGGGATGTCAAAATTAAGGATTTTTGAAAAATATATTGAACAAAATAGGGTGCTATACAGGGATAAAACGGTTGAGGTGTTAGCGGTAGGACGCAGGAGTTACTGCACGGGAGCCCATTCCTAACTTGGAAGGCCCGTTCATATGGCGACCATGCCCAAAACACTGCATTTGCATCGCAATTTTTCCTCCTTGTACAACATATATACTTAAGCCTCCGGGTTTCATGGGGCGGGGCCCAACCCCTTCCCAGCGCGCCCGCCCTCACCCCACCCCCACCCCAACTCCACCTCCACCTACCCACCCCAACACCAAAGGAAGAGCCAATAACAAGCAAAGAACAAGAATTGAAGAAAGCAGAAGAAGCAAGAGCTGAAGAAACCTGGCGAACCAAGCAAACAAGAACAAGAAACAGTGCACAGCAAACTCGCCGCGTGCAATCACAAGGAGCCAGTGGGGACGAGGGTTCTTCCTTCATGTGTCAGTGCCTGCGGGAGTTTACATGATGGTTCGCTTGTGATTTGTCAACTAGTTTGTTTGGGCGACGGCCATGCCAACGTGAATGCAGTATTGAGTGAGCCTTTGCAGCTGGCGACAGGCTTGTCGCCAATAAGGGCATGTGGACAAAGCCGTCTTACTGGGCTTTCAGTGAGGACAGACTTAGGGCCGGCTTGGAATACACTTCAAATACACCATCACACGGTTGTGATCGAGAGGCGAGGATTTTCAATTAACAGCAGCGGAGATAGCACTAAGAAACAACTCTAAAGGCTCCTGGACGTCTTCAAACAAAGCCTAGCAGCTGCGGCGTGACCATGTCGCCTGACATTCATGATCCGCCCGCCGCCAATCAAACTGAACGAGTTGGCCTCTCCATGGCATAGGGCTTGGGGGCTCGAAGGGCTAGGGGTTTAGGGGTGTAAGGCGGTGTAAGGTCCTACAGTCCTACAGTGTCTAAAACCCGGAGCTTGCATGGGCACGTCACTTCACTACTTTGGTCACTGCATTTGCGAGTCTCGCAAACGTGCTCTCGCGAAGAGAACTTATTATAAGCTTTCCTTTCCAGGACAAGATGTCTGTCTGATTTCCCCCCGACGCAGGAAACCAGAAACAGCCGAAACCCAAAGCACATCCGCCCAACGAAAACAAGGCCTCATTGTCGTACTCCCACATGCTCGGATATCCCGAATAGAGCATCTTGGCTTCTGCCGAATCCCATACCGCTGCAGTACCTTTCAGATCTTGGACGACGGCTTCGGTGTCTGTAACTACCCTTTTGACTGCTCAACTCTAAACCCTATAGCCTAAACCCTAGGCCCTGAACCCCCTTCGCCCTTCGACACTTCGAAAGAGGCCTGGTGTCGATGAGGGGTTGCGGCCTGGCACTGGTCCTGCAGCGCGCAGCTCTTCCCACATGTTGGCCTCCAAGAGATTTTGTGTGTTTTTCGGGTTTAGAGTTTAGGGGTGGCTCAGGACTTAAGAGGCGTTGGGAGGATTTAGGGGGGCCTTTCGAGTCCAAGAACTTGGGGATGTGCTCTCTGGACCCCCGACAGGAAGGGGTTTTGGGTGTAAGGTTTAGGGTTAGGGTCGGAACAACCCCCATCTACCAAATGCTTTGGGGGAGAATGGCGAGGTGTCAGCATGTGGCCTTTGTCAACAATCCTGCCGAGACCTGCATTCAGCAGCTTACAACATCTTCACGCTGCTCATTAGCTAGAATTGTGGGTTCAAGTACAACTACATCTTTCCCCACCACTCGATAAAACCACGAAGCCCACGAATCTTTGAAGCACCAATCTTGCTGTCAAAGACAAATCGCAAACAACCAAAAACACTGTGACCAAATACAACCCCAAAAAGATGAGACCGGGACGCTGTGGGAGTGCACTTTTTTCTATTTGTTTAAAGATATTTTAAAGACACTCTCACAGCGTGCCCGTATTTTTATAAAAACAAAATCACGAGTCATGCACAACATGCAAGTGCACCAACACGAAGCAGCGATGCGGTGTATGTCCTGTCCCCGTTTTCAAAATAACTGGGCCAACTTTATTGGAATCCGAGAAACAACAATAGGAATCCTCTATTCAAATCCGTAGGAACCCTATTTTAAATTAATCGGAGCTGTAAAGTCAATAGGAAGCCTCTTAAAATGAATTGGAGGCCCCTCACAAAAAAAGTGAGAATCCTTGTAGAATTCATAGGAATCCTATTAAACTGAAGAGGAACCCTACTACAATTAATACGAACCAATCGGACTCCTAAAAAAATAATGTGAACCCTTAGGAAAATAAAAATAGACCTACTAAAATAAACATGAGCCTAAACCAATAGGAACCCCTTTAAAGTGAATGAGATCCCCATTAATATTAATACCAATCCCATTAACATGAACAAGAATCTGATTAAAACTGATAGGAATCTTATTACATGAGTAGGAGCCTTATTAAAATAATTAGGAACCCTATGAAACTTTATTGGAATCTTATGAAACTGAATAGGAATCCTCTATTGAATTATCGGAACCGGATAACAGTTAATAGCACGGAAGCCTATTAAAATGAATAGGAACCCTTGACAAATCAAAAAGAACCGGGTTACCATTCACAGGTGTCCTATTAAAACGAGAAGGAACCTTACTAAAATGAATAGGAACCAATAGGCCTGAAAAACAATAGAATCCTTGTACAAGAACTAATAGGAATCCTACTAAACTAATATGAGCCTAATCCTTAAAATTAATTAAAACCCTTTGCGAATCCCAGTAACATGAATAAGAACCCTGTTTAAATTGATAGGAACCTTATTAAATTGGTAGGAGCCTTAGGGCGTGATGTCTCAGAATATGTCGCTAAGGTACAGTGTTTAGTATAGATATTAGGTTTTGCTTATTGGGGGGATGATTGCTTGAGACATCCTAGCTAAGGCATAGTTTTAGGATAGATGTCATGCCTTGCGTATTGGGGCGTGATTGATTATATGGAGGTTTTGGTACTCTCTCGAGATTTTGCAGGATTCGAGTTTGTTTTTTGGTAACTCCTCGAAAAATGGTGGCTGGGAGAGAGCCTCAGATCACGAATTTCATGGAAAATATTGGTTCTACCAATGTTGTTGAAGGATGGAGCCGAAAAACATTAGTAAAACCGACGTTTTCCAAAAATCCATGGTTTTCAAACCATGTGGCTGCGAGCACGAAATTCATGGATAACATTGGCTTTACTATTTTTTTTGAAGGATGGAGCCGAAAAACATCGGTAAAGCCAACGTTTTCCAAAAACACCCATGCTTTTCAAACCATGTGGCTGGAGCACGAAATTCATGGATAATATACCAATGTTGTTTAAATTCGTGCAAAGCAGGACCTAGAGAGAATTTTGTCACGTCTCTCGCTCGCAAGCATCAGAACATTTCGTTCATCGCCCACCAGATGAGAGAAACACATAATGCGGTGTGCTTGATTGTCCATGATCGTGCTTTTGTCACGTACAAAAGGGCACTCAAAAACATAAAACACACACAAAACACAAATACCAAAAACAATTGTACATAAAAACATACAAAAATGAAATAACACCAAAAAGCCTAAAGAAAACCCAAAAAACACCCTTCAGAAGACGCCGAAAAGCCGTACAAAAGAAAATGATACAGCAACATCTCCAATAATACACAAAAATCATTAAACAAAAAAAAACACAAACACAAAAAAAACAATCCTAGAGACTCTTCCCAGGGGTCCGGCTCCCCAACAGAATCCCTCAGGATTGTTTTTTTTGTTTTTTTTTGTTTTTTTGGATGTTTTTTGTTTTTGTTTTTTTGTTTTTTTGGTTTTCTTGCACAAGAATCCACAAAACCAAAAAAGCCAAAAAAAAAGTCCTGAGAGACTCTTCCCAGGGGTCCGGCTCCCCAACAGAATCCCTCAGGATTGTTTTTTTGTATTTTTGTTTTTTTTGTTTTTTTTTTTTTTGTTGGTTGGTTTTTGTTTCTTTTGGTTTTCTTGCACAAGAATCCACAAAAACCAAAAAAAGCCAAAAACAATTCCTGAGAGACTCTTCCCAGGGGTCCGGCTCCCCAACAGAATCCCTCAGGATTGTTTGTTTTTTTTTTTTTTTGTTTTTGTTTGGTTTTTTTTTGGTTTTCTTGCACAAGAATGCACAAAAACCAAAAAAACAACAAAACAATCCTGAGAGACTCTTCCCAGGGGTCCGGCTCCCAACAGAATCCCTCAGGATTGGTTTTTTTGTTTGTTTTGGATTCTTTTGGTTTGTTTGGTTTCCTTGTTTTTTCCGCTTTTTTTGTAGGGATTTTTGTGTGTATTATTTCTTGTTGCACGTTTTTCGTGTGTGTTTGTTAGGGTTGCTTTAAAGTTCTGCGGTTTTTTTTTTTGAAAAAAGTGCACTCCCACAGCGTCCCATTTTCAAAAAGATTGTGGCTCAATACCAGCAACACTGAGGCTCGCTGAGGATCAGGAGGGCATAGGAGGGCAGGCCCTTTTGTTCAGAAGAGGTTTGTCCAGGTGCGAAAAGTCTCTCAAGCTTGATGATGTGCGTCGAAGGGAGCCTCTGGGTCATACTTCCACAAAGTGTTCTCGGAGACCTCGGTGCCTGAACAGCACAAGGGCCATCAGCAAGACAACCACGCGACAAAAATGCCATCGGTGCCTCCGAAAACGAGCATGGAGCGCTCCGCCATGTCCCAAACCGCAACGTGTCCTTGCAAGAATCCGGGTTGTTTGAGATCTTTAAGTATCTTAAGAGAATCTGGTTGTTAAGTACCGTGGGCCAGAAGAGATTCACCTTTCCATTTTGGCAGGCTTATACATATATAGATATGTATACACCGCAAGGTTAAAGGCTGCCTACTCAGCTAGTAAGGAAATAGGGAACATGAGAATCCCAAGGGCCCTCGTCGACTGACAAGAGTCCAGCTTGTGGAGGAGGTGTGTCTCCACTTGCATCAACCTTCCTCCAGGAGTTGTCCTCGCTTCCGAATTTAGGGGTACCCTTTGGGGGGGGTTCCTATAATAAGGATTCTACCATTTTGGGGTAAATTAAGGGTACCCCCTATTTGGGAAATACCCATATGGTTGTTTCCGAAACCTTATTGGGATCCTGATTTATAAGGTGCCTCAAAATGGGACCCTAGTCTGGAGCAAGCTCCCATATAAGGCTATGTCGTTGTTTCCGAAATTGAGGGGTACCTTATTGGGGGTACTGATTAGAAGGACATCCTACTATTTGGGGTTTCTGTTTTCTAGGGGTGCCCTATTTTTATCGTTAACCCCCATATTTGCCTCCAATAGGTACTGGAAGAGATCGCCAGAGACCTCCATGGCCTCAGATCTGGAGGGATCGGCACATGCTGCGGCAGCATCGGTGTGGGTGAGACCGCCGAAGACCAGCATTGCGCGGGCCAGCGGGTCCCACACAGCTGTGTGTGACAAGCGTGCCAGCTCAGGCGGTTCGTCTGGATGTGGGTTGGTCAAGGAGTTCGCCTCCAGCTAAACAGCTAAGACAGCAAAGTTGAGGGAAGACATGTAACTGTTGTGGATGGCCGGATCACTGGAACCGGGGTTTTGAGGAGCTGAAGGCCAATTTAAACTCGTTGGACAAAAAGTGCAAGCGACATGGAATTTAAAAGCGCTGTTAAAGGGTTTACCTTTCAAGGTCCTCTAACAATAGGACGTACATAAAGGATTTGCTCAATCTAAAGGGCGGGTAATGAACAGAGTTCCGATTTAAACAGAGACAATGACGACTGGAGACGGTATGGTCGGTATGGTGCCTACATAGAGAACGACATTCAACATTGGAATGTTGAAATGCCCTTGACAAGTTTCCCCGGGCATCTTGTGTCTTGAATCTTGGATCCGGTCCCAATGATGAACTTCAGCATTCCAATGTTGAACTCAAACATTGTAGCTTCAGTTTCTCATGTAGATGGATCCAAGTATCCCTGGTTTGAAATGGAACCCGACCTCCAACCCAAATATCCATTGCCTGAACAAGTAGATGAATTAGATGATCCAAACCCTAAACCTCGATCTGTTAAGGAACCCACCCTCCAAACCCACACGGTGGATGCGGGGGGGGGGGGGGATGGGGGA